CTCGTCCTGCGTCGCCTGTTCGTACTGAGCGCGCTAATGGTCGCGGGTCGCGTCAGCGTCCTCCTCCTGTCCCTGGCACGCACCGGATGTCACTGCGTCCGTCCAATGCTCCTCTGCGTGCCCCTTTGCCTTCTCCTCCTGCTTCCTCGCTTCCTTCTCTTGCCGACCCGGAGTCGGACTCTCTTCGTGCTGCCAGTCCTACTGTCACGCGTCTCCTTGCTACTACTGTCACTGACCCTTCCTTCGAGTCGTCTGCTACGTCTGCCCTTGTCACTGAGCTTGTCGACTTTGCTGCACGCTGTCGTCTAGACTACGCTGCTAGTCTTGTCGCTGAGTCTGAGTCTGCCTGTCCTCCGTCCGTCGGGGGTGAGTGTGCCCTCGGCACGGACGTCCTTGAGGACAGGCAGGAGGAGTTCCAGTGTCTGGCTGCCGCTTCACCTCATCTCGCGTCTGTACTGCTAGCCCCTGAGGGAGACCCGGATGCACCAGACATCCCGACTCCGCGCTCTTACGCGGAGGCGATAGAGGGTCCCTACTCCTCTCAGTGGCAGGCAGCTATGGATGCAGAGATGGCTTTTTGGAAGTCCACAAGCACCTACGTCGACGCTGTTCCCCCTCCTGGGGCGAACATCGTCAGTGGCATGTGGATTTTCAGGGTGAAGCGGCCGCCGGGTTCTCCGCCTGTCTTCAAGGCGCGTTACGTGGCTCGTGGCTTCAGTCAGCGGCAGGGGGTTGACTACTTTCAGACCTTCTCCCCCACCCCGAAGATGACTACTCTTCGGGTTCTGCTGCACGTTGCTGCTCACCGTGACTACGAGCTGCACTCTCTCGACTTCAGCACAGCTTTCTTGCAGGGCAGTCTGCACGAGGAGATCTGGCTGCGTCGCCCACCTGGCTTCACTAGGTCTTTCCCTCCTGGTACCCAGTGGAGTCTCCGGCGTCCAGTCTACGGTCTCCGCCAGGCGCCACGTGAGTGGCACGACACACTGAGGACTACGCTCGCGGCACTTGGGTTTGCTCCGTCTACTGCCGATCCGTCACTGTTTCTGCGCACCGACACCTCTCTGCCGCCGTTCTACATCCTCGTGTACGTCGACCACTTGGTCTTTGCCACAGCTGACACTGCTGGACTCGCCTACGTGAAGTCCGAGCTGCAGAAGAGACACACGTGCACTGACCTGGGTGAACTGCGTAGCTACCTTGGCTTGCAGATCACCCGGGACAGAGCGCGCCGCACCATTACCCTGACTCAGTCACACATGGTGCAGCAGGTCCTTCAGCGCTTCGGCTTCACGTACTCCTCGCCTCAGGCCACTCCTCTGCCTACTCGCCACTCACTCTCAGCTCTGCCTTCGGATGAGTCCGTAGAGTCGAGTGGCCCGTATGCAGAGCTTGTTGGCTGCCTCATGTACCTGATGACCTGCACACGTCCTGACCTTGCATACCCTCTTAGCATCTTGGCACGCTATGTTGCTCCTGGGAGACACCGACCAGAGCACATGGCTGCAGCGAAGAGGGTGTTGCGCTACTTGTGCAGCACGTCGGGCATGGGGCTTGTGCTTGGAGGGCGCAGTCCAGTGGTCCTCACTGGGCACGCAGACGCTTCTTGGGCTGACGACCAGGCTACGCAGTGGTCGTCACAGGGTTACACCTTCAGCCTTGGTTCCGGCTCTGTTTCGTGGCGGGCTACCCGCTCGTCTTCTGTTCTCGGCTCCAGTTGTGAGGCTGAGATCTACGCTAGGGCTATGGCTGCGCAGGAGTTACGTTGGCTCACCTACCTGCTGACCGACCTTGGAGAGCCGCCTCGTTCTCCTCCAGTGCTGTACGTAGACAACAAGGCCATGCTGGCCTTGTGTCGAGAGCAGCGACTGGAGCACAGAACGAAGCACATTGCTCTCCGCTACTTTCTTGCTCGTGAGCTACAGCAGCGTGGACAGTTGCGACTTGCGTACGTGGCCTCTGAGGCCAACACTGCTGATGTCTTCATCAAGGCACTTGCGCCTTGTGATCATCAGCGTTGTTGCTCGCAGTTGGGTCTTGTGCCTGTCTTGCCTCACTTGCTCTCCTCTTGACCTTGCTTGTACCTTCGCCTATATATACTCTTGGTCTTGCTTGTTTGTCTCTTGTATATCTCTATATATGATCTTGCATGTGAACTGGCCTTCTGGCCTTTGAACTTGTGCTCGGAATGCGTGGTGACTTTGTGATCCACCCTGAGCTTGCTTTGCTTTGCTTTGCTTGACTGGTCTTGTGACCCCTTGTTCTCCCCCACTTTGCCTATGGGGGTGTGTCAGAACATATAGCTTACTTGTTTCTGTAGGCTATAGTGGGGTATCCCATAAGGGGTACAACCCAATCAGGGTTTCCTATTTGTACTCACTTCGTTCATAGTCATTCCCACTCTCGTTCACTTCTTCTCATTGTTGACACAGGTTCTAGTCATGCGTAGACTTGAGTTTATTGCCTGTTTCGTCTGTACACTTACTATATATACTTGTGATCTCTTGGACTGGCCTTGTGGCCACTGTTGCTTGTGCTCAGAGTGTGTGGTGTCGTTGTGATCCACCCTGAGCTTTGTTTTCTTTTGGACTGGTCTTGTGACCGTACTCTTTTTTTTTGTTTTTGCTAGACACCCCTCACTTAGGCTATGGGGGTGTGTCAAATGTTGTAGCCTGTAGTGAGGTTTTTATTAGGGGGTACAGAAGTTAGGGTTTGTCATATGTACCCCAACCAACATCAATGCAACATCCATTCCTCATTTTGACAGTTCAGCCTAACAGAGTTAACTCAATAAAGTGGTTCTGATGTACGATCCGGATGGCATTGCAGTGACCAGCTTGTGACAAAATGCCAGTAGCTGCTAAGAAGAGAATTCAGTTTTCCCCCCTCTTTTCTTGAGCTGTCTCTGAATACATAAGGTACATACATTGTAGAAAGATTGCGAATACGGTAGCCATACTGCTGCACTTTTCTCCCCCTTCCTCCCTCTCCCCCTCCTGCTTCTGTCCCCCTTTCCCCCCCACCCCTACTCCTTGCTGTATACCCTCTACCACTTCCCTCTTTCTCTCCTCTCCCCATCCCGATGTTTAACCACAAAGCATGTCTCTGGAAAGATGTAACCAAGGTCATTTTACTAACTGACTAACTTACGGTACCGTAAGTACAGACTCTGTACTACAGAGGAAGTGTGACAAAAGAACACTCCAAAATCGTATTTAATTCGTACCCATACAGAGAATGATCCACCATCCAACTGCTGTCTACATTCAGCCTGTTCTAGAGCGATCTCAGAACAGCCTGAATGTACGCAACGCTGTCCCCAACCACCAGCCAGCCTTCTATCAAACAAGCAATTTAGCCACAAACGCGGACGAGAGCCTACCAAAAATCCAGCTTCCCAGAGATCGACCCGCCGAACACAATAAACATCTTGGGCGCGCGGCGATGGTTACCCGTGTTCTGCAGGCTTTTGAGACACCTCAAAGTCAAACGCGGACGAGAGTCTACCAGAAGTCCAGCTTCCCAGAGATCGTCCCGTTGCCGCGGAACACAACAAACATCTTGGGCGCGCGGCGACGGCCGTTCGTGTTCTGTAGACCGGCCATAAGCGCAGCGCCATCCATGGTACCGTACAGAGTGTAGGCTGTGCCCCGGCGAACCCAGATGGAAGTCCAGGTGCCGGGCAGATCCGTAACAGTGGTTGGAGTTACCAGCGTGTCGCAGGGGTTACCGGTTACGACAGACTGTGAGGTGGGGGCTGAAGTGGTTCCTGTAACGAGCAGCTGATAGGTGAGAGTCAGGGAGCCGTTCCTGAAGGAAAGGGGAGCATAATGAGGGCAAGGGAAACAAGATTTAGAATGTGGGGAGGACGGAATGTGGGAACCAGCAAAGAACCAACACAAACACTCGAAATGCAGGCTTGATCGAAATGGGGAGATATCGTTACCATGATATAGAAAGGGAAAGAGAAGGAGAGGGGGGCAGGGGGAAGGAGGGGGGTGGGAGAGTTGGGAGGATGGGGATGGTTTTTTTTTTGGGGGGGGGGGGGGGGGGGTTGAAGGGCGGGGGGGATGGGGAGAGGTTGGAGAGGGGAGGGAGTGACTCACTGTGACTGATAGTTCTTGAGCGCAGCAGATCCCCTGACGCCATAGACGCGAGGGCACGATTTCAAGGAAGACTCGCCGGATGCTGCATTTCGCGCAAACAACAGCCGTGGCAAACGAGAACGAGGTAACATCACGTGGTGAACTCCTCTCGGAAAAAAGAGCACACAACTGCATTTGAAGGGATGGCGAATTGATGCGGATGGGTGTGGCGACTCACCAATGAGAATGGGCCAGCGGAACCGCCCGTTGCCGCGTCCGCCGCGACCGTTGTCATGGGCCTGGACGGAACAACCTGCATCCACCCCACCGCGTCGACATCAACGAATGACAAGGATGAGAGCAAGGCCAGCGTCTCGGCTTATAGGATGAATGCCAATTTCAGGAAAAAAATGTCCCCAAATAAAAACTAAAATAATAATAAAAATAAACAAAATAAAACTACCGATGCAATTATGAGCTGAGTAACATGCAGCGCAATTGAGAGTGGTCTCTTACAAAGAGCGGCGAGGATGAGGCCGAGGAAGACGATCGCTGCGGAGGATTTCATCGTGCCGCTGTGGTGCGACGACTTAGGCGATCGACGACGGTGAGGATGAGATAATTCAGAACGGAGCAATTCGCGGATACGGAATACTTGTGATGCTGTTTCGATCTGTAAGAGAAAGCAGGATGACCAATAGATGGACTCCATTTCCTTTTGTACTGCTCCAAACTTCCTCGTCAGACGCGACGCGAAGGTCCCCCCAAGAACGAAGTTGGCGGTGGGAGGAGGAATAAACGAGATCGGACAGCGCAGCGACTCGTGGAGGTTGGTTGGTCGGCGTCAAGTGGGGGGGTTGTTTGGGGGAGGTAGGTGAGTTGGGAGAATCTTCCTGTTTTGGAAGCTGAGGAGATATGGCGGCTGGGTTGGGGAAAATCGAGGACGTGCAGCAGCAACGGCTTGGTGATGTGCTGCACATCCCAAACAGGTTGGCAGCATTAGGATCTTTCTAAAACTACCTTAACCCATCCCAACCCACACAAGATTCAGTTGTGAACAGAGCCACGTGTAACAGGCGAAAAGCGCTGTCCACTTGTTTCGTGCTTGCAACTTACTGTACATGCGAGTTTATTAACAGCGGGTTCAGAGGTGGCGGTTTTTTCAGCAGATTCAGCCGCCACGCCATGCTTTCAGCGGTGTAGATCGAAAAGCTGTTCCACGGTATTCAAGCACACCCACCCACCCCGCCCACAAGGGTGCCACTCTGGCCACGTGACATGATGGTCCGAGAAATACAGCACATGTCTGCGGCTTGAGTCAGAAAGGTCGGTTAAATTGTTGTACCTCTGTTAAGGTAGCTTCAGTAACATAATGTACAGGTACCTCTGTTAAATACCCACGTTGGTATAAGTACCATATGGATCCTAGTTGCCTTCTGTCGTTCCTTGCTGCAGCAGCAACTCTCCTTTGCAACACAGTTTCAGATTCTGAACACATTTTCGGAAACTTCTCATCAAGAGCTTCAGTTCGACACCATTATTGTGTTCACACAACGAACATTTGGTCGTCGACAGTGCTCGTTCAGTATCCCCTTTTGAGTTCTATAAGAGCATACAACGCTTAAGGCACCCAAGATTGTCAACTTTTGTAGTCTTAGAGCTGTGTGTCATAGGGGGTACAACTCTTAGGGTTAGGTTTATGTACCCCAACCAACACTTTCATTCGCACCCCCCCCCCCCCCCCGGTGCGCCCTGTCCGTCCGTCGCACTCCGTGCGCCCTGCCGGTCGCGTCGCGCGCGTCCCATCCGTCCCGTCTATCGCGCCCTGTCCGTTCCATCCCGTCCGTTCCGTCTATCGCTTCCCGTCCGTTCCGTCCCGTCCGTCCGTCGCGTTCGTCCGTCGCGTCCCCCCTCTCTCCCCCACCATTGGCCCGTGTCGTCCGTCGCGACGTGCTCCCCCCTGTTCGTCCCGTCTGTCCCCCCCTCCCCCCCCCCCCCCAAGTCCGTCCCGTCCGTCGCGCTCCCCCCCAAGTCCGTCCCGTCCGTCGCGCTCCCCCCCATCCGTCATGTCCGTCGTGCCGTGTGCGCCCAGCCCGTCGCATCATCAGCGCCGCGCCACCCCGTCTCGCCACGCCGCGCCAGCCCATCCTATTGCGCTGTGCCCAGCTCGTCCCGCCGCGCCGCGGGACGTCATGTCCTGGCGAGCCGCGCCTTCCTGCCTGTTCCGTCGCCTCGTGCTGCCTATCCTGCTTACCGCGCCCTATCCTAACGTCCTATAGTGCACTAAGCTTCTTGCACTACCTGTCATACCCTTCTCAGTTTTTTTCAGAGTTTAGGGTTTAAGCAGTGACAGTTCCACCCGCTCAATACAGCTATGATGATCCCTACGGTGCTGCACTTTGACGCCGATGGTAGGCCGCTCGAGTTTTCTGTCTGGCTCCTGCATGCGTAGCACCTCCTCGAGAGTCAGGTCCAGGCAGGCGAGTCTCTGTGAACACACGCTTCCAATGTCCTTCCTGCGCCCGGCAGCCCTACGCCTTTAGGCACTGCCCCCGACGACGCAACTAGAGATCATTATGCATGCGAGCGTGCTGACGTGACGGCGTGGAAGTCGCGTGACGCTGTGGCCTGCATCGCCCTCAGCACCCTCCTCCCTGAGTCTAAGGAGACCCACTTTACTCAAGTTCGCACGGCTAGTGAGTTCCTGACTGCGATCAAGGCCCACTACGCTACTCCCAACACTATCTCTCTTGGTCGCCTCGTTCCTATTCCTTCCGTTCCTGTTTCCTGACCTCGCCTCGTTTGAGCGCACTGCGGACTTGATTACTCACCTCCGCTCGCTCGATTCTAGCTACCGCGCTGCTTGCACTGACGCACAGCTTGCACTACTTCCTCCCCCCATTGCAATTACTATTGATTTCATCGCCACCGGCCTCCTTGACCTCTTTGCCTCGGTTCTTGATGCGCTTCTTTTGAAGCACCCTACTGAGCTCACTATCGGGGTCCTTGAGTCTGCGCTCAAGGATGTCGAGAGCAACCTCCGCTCCATAGCCTCCGCCTCTGGTGCTGTGCCCCCTCCGCTGTTTCACGGGTGCACTGTCCCTCAGCTGCCCACCTTCACTGCCTCCTTCGCCACTGCCGCTAGTGACGTGACTGCAGCTGCTGTTACGACTTCTTCGTGGTCTCGGGGTAGGAGTGGCAGGAGGGGTGGTCATGGTGCGGGCGGAGGCGGCGGAGGCAGCGGGGGTGACGTTGTGAGCGGTGGCGGTGGGAGTGCAGGAGCTGGAGGAGCTCCTCGTGCAGCGGCTGGTGACTCCACTGCAGCGGCTGGTGGAGGTGACGCTCTGGTTCGTCAGCCACCTACAGGCCTGCCAGACGCAGGGGGTGGAGCAGCGGCGTGGTACCTGACTCGGCAGCACCAACAGATGCAGCCCCCCCTCCTCGCAGCAGCCACAGCAGCAGCAGCGGCAGCAGCAGGTTTTGGTGCAGGGGTCAGGACAGCGTTAGTTGCAGCGCGGTGCCGTCCACCCTCCCTGCACCTATCACATTCTGACATGTGCTCGCCGCGGCCAGCCTTGTGGCCGCAGCCACACACCGGGTCAGTGCGTTGCTCAGCTTACTCACGGTTCGTTTAGCCTACGGCGTTGGCGGCCCTGCCCCTGACTGGCTTCCCCTTGTTCAGACGTATGGCCCCGGTTTGTGGGGCATGGCGGCTTCTCAGTTGGTTGATCTCTTAGGAACTCCTCATGCTATGTATGCTGTTGTTGACTCTAGGGCTTCTGACTCTGTTTACTCGAGTGTTGTTAGCTTAGGTATTAGACTTGCTGAGCTGCCTGTTGCTAGTGCATGTACTTGTGTAGACACTAGTTCAGGAGCTGCTTCGGAGCACGCTTCGCTTTCTTTCACTCTGGACTCCGAAGCTTCGCATTTTTTATTCCGCGGCTGCACGACACTTACCCCGCTTCCCACGCCGGTCTCTGTAGCACTGGTTGATCCCACTTCGGGACCAGTCACTGCTCGCTACACTACTACGCTTCCGTGCTCGGCCGTTCCCTCCGGTTCTCCGACCGACTTCCACGTCCCCTCATTCTCGAGGAACTTGGTGGGCGTGAGGCCGCTCGTGAGCCAGCACGTGGGTGTGTGGATTGAGCATTCTAGCAAGACTGCGGTTTGTGTTGACGGGGACACGTACGCGCCTCTCGCCACCTTTACCGCTGAGCCAGGCTCTGGTCTCTACACACTTCACACTGGCCCCTGTGTGCAGCAGCAGTAGCAGCAGCAGCAGCGGCTACTGCCCCCGGCCCCTGTCCCTGCCCCCTGTCTCGTCCCTGCGTCTCACCAGGTTGCCGCGTCCCCCTAGGTAGCTGTGTCTGGTCACGTTCCCGTGTTTAGACCAGTTGTTGCGTCTTGCTCCTGCCGGTCGCTTGCCCACCCCACGTTTCTGTGGCACCACCAGATGGGGCACCCGTCCCTTCCTCGTTTGCGCGCTATGTCTAGTCAACGTCTTGTCTTAGGCCTCCCGCGTGTCTTGACGTCGCTGCTGCCTTCAATTGCACCACCGTGCGGTCCCTGCGTCGAGGGTCGGCTGCGCGCCACCCCTCACTCCTCCTCCCTTCGTCCGGCCACCGAGCCTTTTGAGACGCTCCACTTCGACGTCTGGGGCCCCGCCTCTCGCCTTGGCCCTGAGCGTGAGCGTTTCTTTCTGGTGGTCGTTGACGACTACTCCACAGTGTTCCCCCTGGCGAAGAAGTCAGAGGTGACTTCCACGCTGATCAGGTGGTTGCTTACCACAGAGGATACTCGTGGCCGTCGTGTCAACTGTCTTCACTCCGACCACGGGGGTGAATTTCGCTCCAGCGTTCTCGCTGGATTTTGTCGCGAGCATGGCATTCGTCAGTCCTAGACGCTTCTAGATTCCCCACAGCAGAATGGGTTTGCTGAGCGCCGCATAGGCTTGGTCATGGAGATCGCCCGCACCTCCTTGACTCACACCCATGCCCCCCATTTTCTGTGTCCCTACGCGGTTAGGAATGGTGCTCACGAGCTGAACCTCTGGCCACGTGTCTCTCGGCCAGAGGTTTCACCGACTAGTCTTTGGACCGGGTCCCCTTGTGTTGGGTCGCGGTTTTGAGTCTGGGGTTGCTTGGCTCTTGTTCGCAACACCTCCGCGGACAAGATCTCGACTTGCGCCGTTCCCTGTGTCTTCCTTGGTTTCCCACAGGGCTCCTTTGACTTCACCTTTTACCACCCTCCCCTTCACCGGTTCTTTGACTCCCGTGACATCAGTTTCGACAAGTCCGTCCCCTACTACGTTAGGTACCCCTGCCGAGGTCTCCCGATTCCTGCTCCCCCTCTCTTTCTGACTTTCGCTCCCCCTACCCAACCTGGCTCCAGGCTCGTGTTCGACGTTCCCGTGAGGAGCAGCTGGAGTTGGAGAGAGAGGAGCTAGAGTTGCAGCGGCTAGAGGAGCAGCAGTAGCAACAACATCAGCAGCAGCAGGAGCAGCAGCGGCAGCCGCAGCTGGAGCCACCGCAGCAGTAGGAGGAGCACTTGCAGCTACAGCAGGAGCAGCAGCAGCCGCCGCAGGAGCAGCAGCAGCAACAGCAGCCGCCTCCTCCTCCTGTCTCCAATCTTCGGACCCTCGGTCTCCCCTCTCGCTCTCCTTCCTCTTCCCCTTCTCCTCCTGTCTACGGTCCCGTGTTTCCTCCTCCTGACTCCTCCCCAGCTATTGACACTCGTTCTCCGCCTCCGCTGTCTCCTCCTCCTTCGCACGCTTTGCCCTCTTGTTGTTCTCTTCGTGCTCTGTTCCGTCGTAGTCCGCCTTGTTCGTCTCCGTCTGTGCTTCCGTCTCCCCATGAGTCGACTCTCAATGCTTCCCTCTCTACCCCTGTCAGTGACTACTACCGCGCGTACCATCCCGTTCTCTCTCGTGTTCTCGCCTCTCTTATTACCCACCCTCGTGCCTCTTTGTCCTCTGTCTCCGCTCATACTGCCGCATTCACTGAGTTTGCCTCTACTCGCCGCCTTGACTACGCCACTAGTCTTGTGGCTGCTCCTCCTACTAGTCCTCTGGCTGTCTGGGGGTGAGTCTGCCCTTGGGTGTGACGCCCTAGAGGACAGGAAGTTTGAGCTAGAGTTCCTGGCAGCCGCTTCCCCTAATCTCTGTGCCATGCTGCACGCACCTGAGGGAGACCCCGACGCCCTTGACATACCGACTCCTTGCACTTACGCTGAGGCAGTGTCAGGGCCTTGGGCCTCTTAGTGGAGAGCTGCCATGGACGCAGAGATGGCCTCCTACAAATCCACATGCACTGACGTTGACGAGGTTACCCCCCTGGGGCGAACGTAGTCGATGGCATATGGATTTATAGGGTGAAACGGCCACCGGGATCTCCTCCGGTCTTCAAGGCACGCTACGTGGCTAGAGGTTTCAGTCAGCGCGAGGGAGTTGACTTCTTTCAAACCTTCGCGCCTACCCCGAAGATGACCATTCTTCGGGTGTTACTTCACATAGCAGCACAGAGAGACTACGAGTTACACTCTCTCAACTTCTCTACTACTTTCCTTCAGGGTAGCCTACACGAGGAGGTCTGGCTGCGTCGTCCCTCTGCATTCACCGGCACTTTCCCTCCTGGGACCTAGTGGAGGCTGAGGCGACGGGTCTACGGTCTCCGTCAGGCTCCTTGTGAGTGGCACGACACCCTTCGTTCTACCCTGTCTAACCTTGGTTTCCAGCCGTCTTCTGCCGACCCGTCGTTGTTTGTTCGTCGTGGCTCCACACCATTCTTTGTTCTGGTCTACGTTGACGACCTGGTTTTTGCCACTGCTGATAGGATTGCCTTGGCAGACGTGATGTCCAAACTGCAGAAGAGACACATGTGCACTAACCTTGGTGAGCTGCGCCACTACCTTGGCCTGCATATCACCAGGGACAGAGCTGCTCGCGCCATTACACTCTCACAGTCACACATGGTGCAGCAGGTCCTTCAGCGGTTCGAGCTCCAGCACTCCATAGTACAGCGCACACCTCTTGCTGTTGACCACAGACTTACTGGACCCTTTCCTGACGAGTCGTTTGAGCCTAGTGGTCCCTACGTAGAGCTGATGGGCTGCCTCATGTACCTGATGACTTGTACTCGCCCGGACCTCGCCTTCCCTCTCAGCATCCTTGCTCGCTTTGTTGCGCCAGGGAGACACCAACCTGTTCACTAGACAGCAGCTGTGAGAGTGGCGAAGTACCTAACGACAACATCAGGCGTGGGGCTAGTTCTTGGAGGGCAGCATTCTGTCGTACTTACTGGTCACTGTGACTCTTCTTACGCTGACGACGCTGAGACTCACAGGCCTATTCAGGGGTTTGCTTCAGCATGGGTTCTGGAGCTGTTTCGTGGAGGTCCACGCGTTCCTCCTCGGTCTTGACCTCTACCGCTGAGGCTGAGATCTACACTTATGCCATGGCGGTACAAGAGTTGTGTTGGTTGACCTTCTTGCTTGCCGACCTTGGTGAGCGGCCGAGCTCTGCACCGACCTTGTTCACTGACAACAAGGCGTCGATTCTCCTATGTCGAGAGCCGCGTTTGGAGAGCAGAGTGAAGCACATTAACATCAGGTACTTTCTTCTACGAGAGTTGCAGAGATGTGGACAGGCTCGTTTCGAGTTTGTGGAGTCCGAGGCCAACACTGCAGACATCTTCACCAAGGCGCTTCCGCCTTGTGACCACCAGAGGTGCTGCGTGCAGTAAGGCCTTGTTTACATAGGTTCTCGTCGTGTGTAGACTTGAGTTCTCTGCTTGCTTTGCTTGTACACTTTGCTAAGGGTGTGATACATTTTTCTTTTTTTCCATAGGGAAGTCCAATCGTCCGGACGATTGTGTGGTTACGAAACTCGTTAAATTTCAGCAGTGAGTTTGTCAGGGTCTAAACGACGTTGCATTCTTCGTACTACCTCCTTGCGACATCGCATTGGTCGTAACGCGAGCGTGCGACGTCGCAATCTTCGTTCGCGCCCGGACAACCGTCTGGACTTTCAGCAACTTCAAAAAATGTAACACGCCCTTATGTCTTCGTGAACTCTTGGACTGGCCTTATGGCCTCTTTTATTTGTGCTCAGAGTGTATGGTGACGTTGTGATCCACCCTGAGCTTTGTTTCTTTGTGACTGGTCTTGTGACCGTACACTTTTGGTTTTGCTTGACACCCCTCAATTAGACTATGGGGGTGTGTCAAATGTTGTAGTCTTAGTGATGTGTGTCATAGGGGGTACAACTCTTAGGGTTAGGTTTATGTATCTGTTACAAGTGCAATTGAGTGATCGAACGAGAATTGCACTATCGAAGCAAAAGTACAATGAGCGAAGGATTGAGCGATAACTAAATAGCGAAGACCACTGTGGTAACGGTAACGAACTGTGGGTGACGGCGACGGGCCTGGAACTGAGGTTGAGACTGTGGTTGGGAAATGTCGAGGTGGAGGCCCGGAGCGCAGGTTACCCGCCGAGCCGTGAGGTCGGGGTGCGACGTGCGAAGGTGGCGGGAGGATTGTCGATGCGAGGGTTGTGAGTGGTAACGGTGCTGACTGTGGTGCTACAGTGATGTACGCGCTGAGCAGGGGCGCGAAGTAAGGAAAAAGAATTTTCCTTACACTACCCCCCCCCCCCCCCCCCCCTTTAAGGAGGACCTCTTTACGAAAGCGCGTGTACATCCCGGAAGTTTCGGCTGCGCAGGTACTCGGTGAGGATAGGGTGACTCTCAATTCTATCCAGGGGGACCCAATTGTTCTCTGTGGGCGTGCGGTCTTTACGGCGGATAAGAAATTCGACCCTGCGAACTCCCCTTGGGTCACGAACTTGGTGGCTCAAAATATTTTCGGGTGAGATGATTGGCTCGATCGGTGGTCATGTAATGTTGGGTGGGCAGTTGCGAGGTAGTTGGCTGGTGGATGTCACATAAGGGCGAAGCAGGCTGACGGGGAAGGACGAGCTGACGTACCAGTCAGCAGGGAGGAGTAGGTGGGCAGTGACGGGTGTGATAATGTGGCTGATGCGGAATGGCCCGCAATATCTGGGGCGGAGTTTTGGGGTAATGGGCAGGCGGAGGTTCTGGGTGTCGAGTAAAACTAGGTCGTCGGGCTGGTAAGTGACAGGTCGGCGGTGGCGATCGGCGTTGCGTTTAGCGATGATGTTCGATTTTTAAATTGCGTCTGCTGCTCGGGTCCGTGCTGCTTGTAAAATTTTGGCAAATTGTTGCGCTCGTGGCACCGGGTTGTCGAGATTCGGGGTCATGGGTACTGTGGGGTCTTGTCTGTAGTTAAGGTAAAACGGTGACTGTTGGGTCGTGGTGGATGGCGAGTTGTTGTACGCAAACTCGATGAGTGGCAATTGCTGTTCCTACGTGCTTGGGTCGTCGCACGTGGCTCGGATGAGCTGCTCCATGGTATGGTTTGTCCGTTCCGTCTGTCTGTCTGTCTCGGGATGGTACAAAGAACTGAACTGTAGTTGCGTGCCGAACAGCTGCCACAGGTTTCGCCAGAAGTTGCTGGTGAATTTCGTATCCCTATCGCTAATGATTGCTGCTATTATCCCGTGTAATCGAACGGTAGCGATGAAGATGCGTGCTATTTCTTCGGCTGAGATGGATTTCTTGCATGCTGCGAAATGCGCCATTTTCGTCAACCGATCGACGAGGACCAGGATCGCATTGCTCCTACCAGCCGGTAACCCTATGACGAAGTCCATCGTTACCTGCTGCCAAGCACGCTTTGGGGGTAGTATCGGCTGCAACTGCCCTGCCGGCCGCTTCCGTGATGATTTCATGAGTTGGCAGGTGGCGCACGACGCCACGTGTCGCTGTACGTTGTTCAACATCTCGGGCCAATAGTAATACCGCTGAAGTTGCTGTCGTGTTTTTTCTACCCCGAAATGCCCCAAGGTAACTCCGTCGTGTGCCTCCTGTAACACTAATTCCCGTAGCAGTGTGTACCGTGGTACCCAGGATTTTACGTAATAAACTCCCTTTGCTGCTGCGAACTGCTGCAAATTTCCTCCTGTGAAGAATGGATCCGTTCGGTACCCGTGGGTACATAGGCCTGTCAGTAGTGGGCTGGTATGGGCAAGTAGTATTACATGGATCTGGGCAGTGGGGCGGGTCAGCGCGTCGGCGATGTTCGATGCCCCCTTTTTGTAGGTGACCGTGTAGTGAAAATTGGACTCAAGGAAATCGAGCCAGCGGATCTGTGGTGGGTTGAGGTGGGGTTGTGCGCGGAGGTACTGTAGTGATTTATGGTATGTCCGTACTGTCACGTCTGCGCTGGTCAAGTAACAGCGCCACACTTTAAATGCATGCACGATCGTGAGCATTTCGTGGTCGTGTATCGGGTGATTTTTCTCAAGCGGATGCAGTTTTCGTGTCTCGTATGCGATGGGTTGTAGGCCGTCGCCGAAGTCCTGTAGCAGTGTGGCTCCGATGGTGATGTCGCTGACGTCTGTAACTTCATCAAATGGGCGGTGTGGGTCAGCAATGCGCAATAACGGTGGTGAACAGATAACAGTTTTCAAGGCAGAGAAGGCAGCATGCTCTTTCTCCCTGTGAAATAAGTGAACAGGAAATGAGATGACTACAAACATGAGTTGGGTACAAATACAACCCTAGAAAGCAGTACCCCATATGTGCTACCCCACTATAGCCTGCAAACATGCATCAGCTATAATAATCTGACACACCCCCATAGGCAAAGTG